GGTCTCCACGAGACCTCTGATGCTCAGTCTCTGAAATCGCGTGCACAGCCCTCGTGTTCTGCTTCTGGTTCTGTTGATTCACAGCAATGATCTCGTCCTGTGCCAGCTGGTCAGTGATCAGCTGGGTGCTTGGATTTGGTCAATGTTCAGCTGGGTGCTTGGGTTTAGCACATGTCTAAAAACACAAGGCAAACCGGAACATCAGGAATGTGAATTATTGAACGTTTGGGGTTGGAAGGGACCCCTAGAGGTCACCCAGCCCAACCCCCCTGCAGGAGCAGGGACACCTTGAACCACAGCAGGTTGCTCACAGCCCCGGCCAACCTGGCCTGGAATGTTCCCAGGGATGGGGCCTCCACCCCCTCTCTGGGCAACCCCTGCCACGGTTTCACCACCCTCACTGGAAAGAATTTCTTCCTTAGATCCAGCCTAAACCTACCCTGCTTCCGTTTAAAGCCATCCCCCCTTGTCCTGTCCCAGCTGGCCCTGCTAAAAAGCTTGTCCCCCCCTTTCCTCTGGGCCCCCTTTAAGCCCTGAGCGGCCGCACTCAGCTCTGCCCGCAGCCTTCTCTTCTCCAGGCTGAACACCCCCAACTCTCCCAGCCTGTCGGCAGGGCATCCCTCGCCTTGCATGGTGAATCCACTGGAGATTTCCCACTAACCCCTTGCAGTCGGCTGTAGAGAAGGTCTGTCTGTACATCACCTGCGCTGCCTACCGTTATAGCTCCACTTCTGGCACCTGATTGTCAGCGGGATGTTATATATAGCTCTTATGGTAATGTTTGCGTGCCGAATGCAGTTTTCTTGGAGGAAATTACATTGAGAAATGGGTGAAGAAGTACTAATAATCTGCATAAGCCCCTGTTGTTTAAGCCCACAGCCCTCCTTCTCCGGGAAGACAAACACAGATAAAAGTAGAGTTTTCCCAAGCAGCGTGTTCGAGTGACTTTGCTGACCCTCTCGTCTGGCCATGCTGAGCAGGGTGCTTTTCCCCAGGACATCGCGGCCGCGGGATGGGGCTGGGAGAGCCCCCAGTGCTACCCCCCTGGCCTCCCTGGGGCGGTGGCACTTGGGTCTGATGCCGGTTTGGTCACTATAGCCTTTTCGAGTGCCCTTCAAGGGACCAGCACGTTTGGAAGCCACTGGTCCTGGCTCCCGGCGAGCTCCAGGAGCACTTATAGGGTGCAGCAGCCTCGGTTCTGCTGGATTCCCAGTTTTGAGCAAGGGGTTCATTTTCAGAGGGGAAACCCAAAGGTCTGAGGTTACGAAATAATCAGCGTAAATCTGAAGGGGACCGATACCCCATGGCAAGAAATCTTTTTTTGGTTACACCATCTGCCTCGGGAAGCAAAGTGTTTTGCATTTCCAGGCTGCCATAAAAGAAAGGGGAGGTGTAAATAACCAGTGAACTATAATTCCACTTATAATTCACATCTCTGTTAGGTGTATTAATATGTCCTTGTGTTGTAGAAGCAACGAGAAAAGCCTCCGATGAGATCAGGGACCCCCTGTGCCAACTGCTGCGTGGGCGCGGAACAACGCGGATCCTGCCTGGCCTCATCGAAAGCGATAGCCGGGAGTGGCAGGAAATATTATTGGGTTTCTCTGCAAATAAGAAGCTGCTTTACAGGGAAAATGAGCCACAGTTTAGCAAACACTTAAGGATTGACTTACTTTTAAGAATGTTGTTTAATCCTGTTGAAATTGAGAGGATTACTTAGCCTTAAACGCGTGCTTAAGCACTTCCCTGGCTGGGGGCTGGCAGGCTGGATGGAGCACAGGAGCTGTAAGAGGAGCTGGGGTTGCACTTGGCTTTTCTTGCTCTTGGCTACGGCCTTAGCGGGAGGTGTTGCTGGAAAAATACTCCCTGATACTGGGACGGTTACTGCTCAGTCTTGCTTTTGGAGATGCCAAGCTTCACGGCGGCTCTTTGTACCCGATCCCTCGGAGCGAGTTGCTTTGCTTGCGTACCTGAGCATCGATTTGGGAGCCTGAGCGTAGGCAAGCGCGTCTCTGCATGCTGGCTCCTTGCTGGAACCAGGTCCTGGGCTTTGATGTGCCAGGGGCTTTTCATAAAAGAACAAAGGAAAATCGTTGGCGTAGAGAACAGTGTGCTTTTCTCTTAAATTTCCCTGCAAGTCAAACCCTGCGGTATAACTGTCTGATTCATAAACTGATTTTGTACTTTATAAGTCTAATAATAGACCGCAGAAGAGACTCATTCAATCAGTCTAGGACTTCCCTTGGACTATTTTAAGCCCCGTGGAGCGGGGCCGGGGGCTGCCAGCTGCCTCTCCAGCCTCCGCACCCCATTTGGGCTCGGCGTTTGCAGGTACCACTGGCCGGCAGCGATGCTCTGCGCCACAGCTCTGCCTTGACGAGCCCCGGAGCCTTTCATGGATGGTAATGAACTTCAGTCCCACCTCCTCTCCCAAACTGGGGAGAATTTTCGAGGCGGGAGACTGCAGCACGGAGAGATTTAATAACATGCCTGCAGTGGTCTTCTAAGTTGCTGACAGTTTTGGGTGTAAGACCTGATTTCTTTGACTCCTGGTTATGTTATAACCTGCTCTCTTCTGTTGCCCTTCGTGTCACTTCTAAAGGCAAAGCCAACCTTAGTTAAAAACGCAGCTTGAAAGGGCAGCGGGGACTTCAGAGCGCAGGGAGGGACATGGTTCGTGTGGGGCTGCCTTCTCCTTCCAGGGGGGCTCAGCCCCTTTTGCTTTCTCCGGAGCGGGTTTGCTCACTGAAGCCTGACGTTACCAGAAGCCACGTCTTTGCTTGATGCTCCTCAAAGCCAGAGCAAACGAGAGGCCGGCCAGAGATAGGGGTGTGAGAGGGGTTTGGAGAGCCAGGCTTGCTTAACACCTCCCCGCAATGGCGGTGGGAATCTCGCCGGCTGGCGCTGGGAGCTTGCAGCTCGCTGGCAGGAGAGCGCGTGGCTGAAGCACCTTCTCCAGATGCGGCCAACCTTCCTCCGTGCTGCTTTTTTGTTAGATTACAGCAAAATGGGGAACTTGCATTAATGTTCATGGCACTAAAGTTCTGCTTGAGAAAGTTTACAGTTTCTCTTCCAGTTGCACAGTAATTATGGTCTGTAATCAGCAGCTCCAGGGCATCTCTGTAAAACCAGGCGTGCAAGGGGTGCTGGTCCAGACGGGCTCTCAGGAGTGAGAAATGGGCCAAAATACGCTCATGGCAGCAGTTGCCAAAGCAATGCTTTGTCTAATTAAAAAAAAATTCCCTTATCCATGTCCCCTATTTAGAGGGAACTGTCAGGGGTAACACCTTAAAAAAACCAAGCCATGGCAGGAAGCTTTGGCAAAGCCCTTTTTTTGCTAGAAGCATTGTGTGGGGTCCATAAAGCGTCCGAGGTGTGAGGAAAATTCCCTCGTGGTCTGGAGCTCCTTTCTGCGTTGAACTCCCGTTAGTGACATTGTATACCAGGGAGAAACTTGGCCAAGTTTTGACATTCCCAGCGTCTCGTGTGCCTTCTTGAATAATTCAGCATCTCCGTTCTCCGTGTGAAAGTCAACCGCTAAATGCCAAACTGTGGCAGCTCCTTTGTTGCTGCCCCGGCTTTGGGTCCGCGCATGGGGCACTGGCAGCCGACAGCCGGGCTGGAATTCATGGCAATGGTAAGAGAAAACAGTCCTGGAGCGATGAGAAGGATGAAGGTCACAAAAGTGTGGAGAAGACAGAGTTTGGAGCAGGATGCCTAGACTCTGCGGCTGCAGGAGGAGCTCAGGCTCCAGGGCAGACCCGGGGAGCTGCCTGCGTGCATCCCCCAAAACTAGGCTGGTGCTCGCGTGCCTCTTGCAGAGGGAAGGATTTGCATCAGGATCCTCGATGCAACTCTGATGGGCATTCCGGGATAAAACCGTAGGAGGGAGAGGGGCTCCGAGTACCGACAGCAGTCCTAGGGGAGAAGTCAGGCACTTACTCGCTTGGGGCGTGTGCTCCCCTGGGTGGCTGATCCAAAGGTGCCTTAGCAAGCCAGGGAAGCATCCCGCCGCGGGAGGGCACGCAGTCCCTACGGGAAGCAGCACTAATGGGTGCCTCACGGCTGGGCTGGGTGCGGGGCAGCTCCAGACAGTCAGCCCCCATACCAACCTAGGGTTTGTACGCCTGGAGGAGAGCTGAGGACTGGGGGCCCTGGGCAGCAGGGACCGCTCAAAAAGTCCTTTATCTGTGTCCTGGATGCCGGCATCTGTATTCATTCCAGTGGGTGGGAAACCAATCCAAGAATAATAGGTTTGTTTTTTCAGTCTAGCTTTGAAATGATGAATATGAGCAGGAGTAAAACATTTTTTAGGTCTATAAGGGACTAAAACCATTCTTTGTTTGTCTTCATTGAAAATTCGGCGTAGCAATTAAAACTTCCATCAAAAATGGGAGTTTTCAGAAAAAGCTGGTGGCTTTACTGTTCCTGATTGCGATGCTGATGAAAATATTTTGTTGTTGAATCACTTCTGGCTGTTTTCCACCAGCAAAGGGCGACGGTCGGCGCTCACCTCTGACAAACTGATGATGCATCTCTATTGAAATGCGAGGAGTCAAAACCGTTCAGTCTTGGCAGGTTTGCCTCAATAAGATGCTTTTGTGTGGGGAGAGACGAAAGGAGTTGCGAACGTTTTGTCATAAAATACAAAGGAAGAGGGTTTTTTTTTTTTCAGTGGTTCTCAGTGTTGCATAAAACCTATCGGTGTGTATGCTGTGAGCAGCAGGGTGGCGTTTGCTGGGGTGACGCTGTTGAATGGATCTCTCTAGCTGAGGGTTAAATGTCTTTTGGGCTCAATGGTAAACCCAAAAGCCGTGTTTGCACCGATAGTGTCCTGCAAGCCCTGATGGTGCCGTACGGTGACACTGATGGGGGAACTGGAACACATCCACTGCAATGGGTGTCCGGGTCCAAATACCGGGCTGTGGGTCCTTGAGTTCCCACCCAAACCTTCCTCTGTCTTCAGTAAGCACACCAGCATCTTTTTCTCTCGTTTCCAGGTGATCTCTGCAGTATCCAGACTCTCCTTCCACAGTATTGCTCAAACCAAAGGAATTAGGTAAGATCCTTTCAATACATTGATGTTTCAAATAATGTTTCACTCTCTCCCTATCCATATTCCTAGTATTTAATCACACCAGAAGCATTAATATGGTTGGGACATATTAGGGTTAAACAGACATCAAGGATGCCTTTGGGACGTGGGCAGGGTACTTGTGAAAGCACCTCACCAGCCGCTCGGGAACAGTTTACAAATAGAATCATAGTATCCTTTAGGTTGGAAAAGCCCTTTAAGATCATCAAGCCCAACCCTTCCCCTAACCCTGCCATCCCACCACTAAACCCTGGCCCTAAGCATCTTCTCTGCCCAGCTTTTAAATACCCCCAGGGATGGGGACTCAACCCCTTCCCTGGGCAGCCCATTCCAGTGCTTGACAGCCCTTTCGGGGAAAAAATTTTTCCCCATGTCCAATCTAAACCTGCCCTGGCACAACTTTCCTCTGGTCTTAGATAAAATAAGTGAAAATTTAACAAGTTGTGTGCGGTGTGCCTGCTGGAGACGGCAGCAGGGTGGGTTTTGGTGTCTCTTGCTGGAGGTTTTGCTCAGGTCCCCTCTGCAGGGGCTGTGCAGCCGAGGACGGGGACCCCAGGGAGGCCAGCAGCGCCCGTCCCATTTGCCGTGCCCGGGGAGCTGTGGTGTCACCCCACCATCCCCACCCTGCTCCCTGGTCTGTGCAGAAGCGCCCTGGTGGCCTTTCGGTCACTAACAGCTGGAAAACTTCTTCCCGGCTTTGACAAAGGCTCATTAGTGCTGAGTGGGTAACGGGGTTAATGAGTAACCTGGCCCTGGCACCCAGGGTGGGCTACCCTGCTGCCGGGGCTGCTCCTCCTCTGCTAATTGAAGGAGCACTGGAGAAGGAATTAAAACCAGCAGACAACCCTATTAAGCAGAGCTGTTATCCTGGTCTTTGTTCAAATCCCTGCAAAATTGGTTTGCAATTGGTTTTCTTGCTAGTGCGCGCTTTTATTATTAATCTGGCAACGTCTTCTCATTAGGACCACAGCTATAACTGGGAAGGGTTCTCAGCCTAAAGTACCTATCTGCCTTTGGTTTTTTGGGGGTGTGGGGGTGGGTGTTTGTGTTTATTTTCCCCAGCTATTGAACACATTTGCTTGTCTCTGCAGCACGTGTCTTGCTGCTGTTCTGGTCAGGGTGTAGCAGGGCATTGGTCTGCAGCTGGAACCCCGGGGCCAGCCACAGCCAGGGCATGGGGACATGGGCTGGATGGGGCCCCTGCTTTACTTCTAGCCCTGCCACCCGTACCTGCCACCCCACACCACCTTTTCCACTGGTTGAACTTATTTTCCCTGCCGTAACTGCACTGATATTGCCGGAGGGGAGCAGCTTTTCACGTGTAAAGCAAACTCGGAGCCTTCCCATCTGTTAAACACAAATCTGACAGATCCCACCGGGACTGGGGGGAGATTCAGGAGGTGAGGGTTTGAGGAATAAAGATGTGCTGTAAGTTAAGGGGTATTTATTGTTTAGGATAGCCCTGAGTCCTGGAGAAGCCTGCAGTGATTATTGAGGGAAAAGAACATCCCAGGCGTTTGGAGGCAGGGAGCAATGGGGGAACCCATAAGCCGCAGTGCCTTTGCAGGGGCTGGGTTTAAGCCTCGGGGCATCGCTGGAGGAGGATGCACCGTGTGGCCCCTGGCAAAGCTCTCCCTAGGCAGGGAGGTCCTGGTGTCAGTTTGGAGGCTGAATGAGCTGGGTGTCCTCTGGGAAGGCTGGGGCTGAATCACTGGTGTTCCTGTTGAGGTCTCCCAGTGGGCAATAGCTGGGAGCCAGGAGCAGGGAGGCTTTGCTATTCCTGTGGCTATGCGGCTTTTTCCCATTCATTTTACAACCACCATTTACCATTCCCACTAAAATCCCTTATCTTGGAAGCCTTTCGCACCATAATCACACAAGAATAGCACAGGGCTTAGTGGATCTTTGCTTCTAACTCTGCGTATTAACCCTGCTCCTCCTCCCCATCGCCAGCTCTACAAGAACAGAAAACGCTGTCGCTCCAGTTAGCTGGGAAATACCCCCCAGGGGTGCCCCTTCCCATCATCGCTGTCCCCTGCAGGCGAAGAGCCTCCATTGCTGCATGTTGTTTCCTTTTAATTAGGTGATTTCTTGCTACACCATCACAAAAGCCTCAATGACAGGAAATACCCTCAGATGAATTAATTTAAACTGTGGGAACCATCAGCAGCTCTGGCTCCCCGAAGGGACTGGCCACATTGGCCACCGTGGCCCCTCAGCTCCTTGGGGTCCCCACCGATGATTGGGGTCCCTACTCCCTCCCCCAGTGACAATGCTGCCGTTGAAATAAATGGGAAAAGTCTTGTTGGCTTAGGCACTGTGCTTAAAAACACAGTAAATACAGTGCAATTAGGATAGCGTATGGATTGTATGGTCTTCAGCCCCATAGCATGGATGTGGCTTTGCTCCAACCCATGTTTTGGGCTCTAAGACTTCAGGATCACCCAAATTAAGAAGGAAATAAATCCCCAAACCTATTACTTGTCCTTAAAAAAGTTCCATGGCATGTAGGGTAGAAAAATAAAAATCAATCTTGTATGCTATTCAGTGAAAAAAAAAAATAGTCCTTCTGTCTAATAATTTCTGGATACATGATACTTGTCCTTAAAAAAGTTCCATGGCATGTAGGGTAGAAAAATAAAAATCAATCTTGTATGCTATTCAGCGAAAAAAAAAAAATAGTCTTTCTGTCTAATAATTTCTGGATACATGATCCTTGCCAGAGAAGCCCTGTTTCACAGAGTAAATCAGATAGCTATCAGGATAGCTATGGTGAGATGACAGAGTGCTTTCTTCCAAGGAACAAGCTACAAGCAGCAAAACATGGCACAAAATGATCTTGAATGCAATGTTTTGTTTGCAGCGCACTGCTAAGGCTGGGCTTAATCCATTGCAGCTGTAGCCACAGCCCGTGCTGCGCCTGTCCTCCTCCTGCCCCGTTCTGGTCCCAGCTGCAGGCTTCTGAACTCCTGCAGAAAACAGCGTGTGGTGCATCGCCGAGTTACCCCCGAGCAGGCGACGGGCTCTAAGGATTGCAAAAATAGATTTCTCTCTTGCACGAGGCTGTTTGTGCAAACAGCACAGGCGATGCTTCCCCGCTAATGAAAGCAGTGTGTGGTTGCAAGGGCCACCGCCGCCGCACGGGGTTAATTTTTGGATAGTGCCCCAATGCATAGGAAGACCCTCTATGAGAAGAGGCTTATTGGTGCCTCCTGGAAAAAGGCACATTTTCTGTCTTTAAGGCATTCAGGGGAAAGATGGTTTTGTGGATAAAGACACAGGCTGAAGGGAAAGCGGATGCGTGAAGCTACGTTTGGATCTTGGCTCTGCCCCAGGTGCCGTACATGGCCCTGGGCAAATCCTTGAGTTTTGCATATCTGATTTTATCCCTTAGTTTTGCGTGTCGATTTTATCCCTTCGTTTTGTGTGTCTCATGTTCCCCTCTCAGAGCTGGGGAGGTGGGAAATGCCTTTGTTCACCTGGCTTGTGGGAGAGGAGACCTGCCCGGCTGGCGTGGGCGCAGGCAGCGCTGCCGTTCGATCTCGTTTGGGAGCAGAAATGGGGTAATACCCTTTTTCTGGGGTATTCATCCCTGTGTCGTTTCCCAGGGCTGTATGGGGGGACGAAGAAAAGATCCTCACTGTGCAGCATTGCCCATCAGCTAAGGAGAGGAGATGTTTTCTTAGTTGTTATCATTTCTTGTCCTCTCTTCCACCTGGCTGGAGGACTGTCAGCAGTCGCAGAGAGAAGCTACCCCCGAGCTCCTTGCCCATCGTGGCTGTCTCTGAACAAGGAGCCTTTATTTTACAGCCAGGACGCCGGGGTGTCCACGGCAGACCTGACTCGCAGCCCGGGAAGCCCATTACCCCGCTTCTCACAGTGTCTGGCACTGAGCTCCCAAGTTAGGCAGGAGGATTTTGTAGCAGACAGCAGCAGCGTGGTGGTGTAAAGGTTCTCCTGTGCTCTGGAGCATGAGTTTTCATTCCCTTTCCAAGTTTTCTCGAGCAAACTCAGCTCTCTGGAGGACAAAAGGACTTCTTGCTGCAGGTCCCAAAAAAACAGGATTGTTTTTTCTTAAAGTTTTTTTTTTTTTTTCCCCCCTTAAGACTTTTCTGCTGCAGCCCTGGCTGTGCTCCATTGCCCGTGGTACATCCCGGCGTCCTCTGGGCTCCGGCCATCGTCCACCTTGTGCGAGCAAGCTCCACCAGCTGGATGTGAGCTGGGAGCAGAGGGGGCTTGTGTTTTTTCATCTCCCCGAGATACATGTTTTTCCTGGAAGACAGAGTTTTGCAAGCAAAGCAGGAGGTTAAGGAATATTGGCTCCTGCTGCCTGCCTGCATTTTTAATGTGTGCACAGTGAAACCATCTGAAAACGGGAAGGAGTTAGCATGTTCAAAGGCCTTTTACTGAGGCCCTTAATCTAAGTAAATCCTCTGTATATGAACTGAACCTCTCGGTGACTTCCTTCAGAAGGCACTGCAGTTAATAAAATAGATTTTAAAACATTTGCAAATGGGAGGAGGGGTGAATCTTGGTTGTCAAGAGGAGGGTTTCTCCTGTGGGAGCAGCAGCGGTGCTTTGGCCGGGCGGTGCAGGGAAGGAGGAGGGGGTGGTTGTGTTTTCCCCATCCTGGGGACCAAGGCAGGACCCCCTCGGGTGGGTGGCTGGCCCAAGCTTGTTGGAAGAATAAGCGGCATTAGTTTTACCTCCAGGCAAGCATGGAGAGGCCAGCCCAATGCCCTGGGCTGAGGTTTACCTTGCATTTAAACAAGTAAATAAATAGAAGCCAAAATGCTGATTCTCTGGGCGTTTAACCTCGGCACATCGCGTGCCCTGAGGCGATGGGGCAGATTTGCTGGGAGTGGAGGGCAGGCCCTTGGCTGGGAGGCTTGGGTTCGGCAAGAGGTGACCGCGCTTCAGATGCCCGCGAGTCCCCTGGAAGTCCCGTACGTAAGGAGCTGGGA